TCCACAGTAGCGCTAGGCAAGCTCCATGATGTATTAAGCGCACTAGAGACAGCTCACCCTGATGCCGTTTTTATTGCAGCTGGCGACTTTAATCAGTACAAATTACAGACTGTTCTTCCCAAATATCACCAACATGTGGACATTCCCACCAGTGATAAAAACACACTGGACAATGTTTACAGCAACATACGGGATGCATACAGGGCTGCACCCCGCCCCCACTTTGGATACTCAGACCACATCTCTTTGTTCATGTACCCGGCCTACAAAGACAAAGACTCAAATCGCTTCGAGACCTCCAGCATCGACACAGAGAGGAAGCACACACACACTCTGACCACTCAACCCCCCTCCCTCCTACTGTCTCAGCTGTGGTATACAAAGTGCTGAGGAAAATCAACCCCCGCAAAGCAGCAGGGCCAGACAACATCCCTGGACGGGCCCTCAGAGCTTGTGCTACGGAGCTGACTGATGTACTCACTTCCATCTTCAACCTCTCCCTCAGTCAAAGCATCGTCCCAACCTGCTTCAAAACCACAACCATCATCCCCCTTCCCAAAAAGAGCCCCCCCGACCTGCCTGAACGACTACAGGCCAGTAGCACTCACTCCAATCATCATGAAGTGTTTTGAGAGAGTGACCACACCCATCACCCCCCTTCCCAAGAAGAGCCCCCCGACCTGTCTGAACGACTACAGGCCAGTAGCACTCACTCCAATCATCATGAAGTGTTTTGAGAGAGTGGTGCTGACACACATTTAGAGCAGTATGCCGGGTCTACAGGTCTACCTCAGATGCCATTGCTGCTGCCCTCCATATTTCCCTTTCTCACCTGGAAGATAAGGACACTTATATCAGGATGCTCTTTATTGATTATAGCTCCGCCTTCAATACGGTCAGCCCTCACAAACTCACCCAAAAACTGATTATACTTGGACTACACCCCACACTTTGTGTCTGGCTCCTAGACTTCTTGACTGGCAGACCGCAGTCTGTTAGGATTGAAAATAGGACCTCAGACACTGTCATAACAAGCATTGGCACCCCACAAGGGTGTGTTCTCAGTTCCATCCTCTACACACTGTTCACACATGACTGTGTTGCCTCCCACAAGGACAACATAATACTGAAGTTCGCTGATGACACCGCAGTGGTAGGACGGATCACTAGCGGGGATGAAGCGGCCTACAGGAGGGAGGTGGCCAGTCTTGTGGCATGGTGTGAGGACAACAACCTC